TGTACTGTATTTATTTGTTTAATTTGCCCATTGAACTTATATTTACTGAACTTATTTGCCCATTGGACTTTATATTTACTGAAGGCAAGAAGTAGTTCATAGATAATTTTCGGGTGTGGAATCTACAAACCTTAAAATGGCCACCCAGAAGAGGTATTCAGGAAAAGTGCTGGTTGTACTTTTCTATTAACCAGTCACAAAATTAAAATCAATTCCTATTTGTAATTATGTTAGATTCTGATCTGTTAGTCATCAAAGCATGTCCCTTTGAATCAGTGCAACAGCTTTAATATGTAGGAAAAATCCAATGCAACCCAATTACCTCTAAGAGTGGAATAATGCTTATTCCAAACTAGTGGTACACAAACGGTTGTACCATACATGGAATGCTTAGATCTCTACTCATCTCCCCATTTATTCTTAACAGATACGTACATTTTAAAGGGAACAAATGCATAACAGGGGTTAACTCCTTGCTCGGTTCTCAGCTTACCAGGTCCACTGTCAAATTTCTCTACAGAGTACATGTAACTGTTGTTCTGTTTTCTCCCTCCTGCCTTCCCAGCTCTTTTGAGTATTTTTTGGTGATAGCTGAATTGCATAACACTGCAGTCAGTTTTATGTGGTCTTATGTCTTCTTTGGACTGTAAATGGGGAATAGTCTGACAACTCAGGGCAAATGTACACAAGTTTCTGACACTGAGCAACAATACCTGGGTGTGCCGCCCTCCATGTTCTCTTCTTTATGTTATGATACTGAGTTTGTTGCTCTTCCTCTTTAATATCCTTAGTATCCCTCCCTATCAATCCCACAGAACCTTTGAGAAAACGTGAGGAATCAAAATGAGCAAAACAGGCAAAGCCTGTAACAGAGATTGAAGGGTACAAAGATGCTATCTGGGTAGAAAAAGATTCTATTATTCCCATTCCTATGTTAATTGATACAATGTCAAGACTATCACAGATGCACAGTTTAAGAATAATTCTGAAAGTGTTCCTTAACTCTGACTTTGATTAAGGTCATATTCTTCTGCTCTCTGGTCAAGTCTTCTGGATGCAGTGGGGACCCTTTGTTAGCAATCCAGGAAATCCACCAAAGGGCCCCATTGCAGGATCTGAGAAATTTACTCTCTTGCTTTCACCATCTCACCGTACAACTCTGACTAGAACAATGGCCCATTTCTCCAGTTACTGTCACTTTCACTCATTATTTCAGCTCTTTCTGCAGGACACCTATCCTTTAGCTGGTTGGCAGTCATGGTTGTTGTCCTAAACTCAATTAGCCTATGTATTTCAGCCCTTATCTCAGAGAGAGTAATGGCTCTATATTTCTGCAGATTTGACCTTCAGCGTCAAGCCAAAGCCACTTTCCTAAGTCAGGTCACCATGAGGGCTTTGCTTAAGAACCTTCCCCCCTGCTCAGAACCTCAGAGATGGCATCCTTTTCATCATCTCTGGTCTTGGTAAGTTTCTCTAACCTTTCCTTTTAGTTTCTGGTCTTATTCTCTTTTTATTTTTATTTTTTCACTTTCTAGGCCATCTCATCACCAGGGATATATTATTTCTATTTTTCTTTGTTTTCTGTCACTGAATTTAGAATATACTTCCTATGAATTAAAAAAAAAAATCAATGTTTACTTAAATGCACACAAAATAGCTCCTCTATAGCCAAAGAAGATTCCAAAGCATTTAGAGATTGATCATACCCTAGACTGGAAATCAGAGAGCTGGGTCATCATTTGGGTTCTACCATGTCTAATTGTGTGACCTTGGGCAAGTCAATTTTACAGTGCCTTTAACCCCTTATTTGTAAAATCATCTTTAATACCTATCCTAGTCAAATGTTCTGTGATTTTAAAGACTTATAATGCAAAGTTAATTTGATGAAGACAACCATGTCTTATTTAGTTAAAACAAAACTCATGCCAAACCAAAGGAAAAGCTTTTTTAGACTAAAGTATACATTTATCTTTAAGCCTAGGGACTTGCTTATGAGCTAAAATATGCCTACCTCCGAACCTATGTGTACAGGTTAACTATTGCTACAATAATGCTGTGTAACAATCACATAATTTCAGTGGCATACAACAGTGTTGAACTTAGGCACTGATTGAGGTAGACCAAGGATCTGCTAATACAGGCTGAGCCTTGCTTGGGTGGTTCTATTCTACCTCATGAGTCCTTCATCTTCTTTTTAGCATTAATAAGCTAGCCTGAAAGTGTTCTCATGACAGTGGTAGAGAACAAGAGAGTGAGTCAAATCATATGAGCACTCTTCAAGTTTTGGAATAGTCATTCCCATGGTATTCCATTGCCCCAAACAGGTCTCATGGTCAAGCCAAAAGTCAAGGTGTGTCCATGGTGCAGGTGGGTGAAGAAGTGAATACCTATGAATAACAGTGTTATCTAACATGTGGCTTTGGAAATGAGTGATGAAAATGCTTATGTATGAGTGAAATGGAGGTGGTGATGACATGCAGAAACCTTAGGGATTAAAGTCTAGTATTGTTACATCTCCCATGGGACAGGACTAAATCCACTTCTAGATAAAGGGGTTGAGACAGGCTCAATACATTTACCTGCACACAATTTAAGGTGCGGGTGAAACTGTCATTTTAGTCAAATGAATGATCTCAAGATCACAGCACTATCTAAAAGGCACCTGGTGCCCCTCTATTTTCAAGGTTTATGAAAAGTTTCTCTGGACCACTGACTGAGCATCCTTCCATGGGTAAGCAACTACTCTATTCAAAGAGTAGATAAATTTGCAAACGCTGACCAGAACTTATTTATAAGATTAAAAGTATATACTTTGAAGAGGAGCTAATATAAATACATTGTGCAACTCTTGTCATTTGTTAGATTCAAAAATCACACAACTTACCTTGTATTGTAAAAAGTCTCTTCCGTTAAACGAACTAAACATCTCTACTTCTGCCACATTTTACTTCAGTTCCTCTACTTGTATTCACATATCCTGATGACACAGTGAACTAAAACTATAGTACCTTTTACACAAATTACTGCTGATTAAGTTGTATTAAATGAAAACAGCAATATACACGAAGGGTGGTTGTTATTGATAAACAATAAACATTATTATCTTGCAGTATTTGTGGGTCATTTAGAAAAGACTTAGGTGGGTGGTTTGGGCTCTTGGGAGTCCCAGTCAAAAATCAGCAGAGGTTACAGTGATCTGAAGACTTGATCAGGGGCTGCAGGATCCGCTTCCAATATGGCTTGCATACATGGATGGCAAAGCTGATGCTTGTTAACAGGAAGTTTTAGTTCCTTGACAGGTGAACCTCTAGATAGAGCTACCTGGGTGTCCTCATAGACAGTGGACTTTCCCCAGAGCAGGTGACCGAAGAGCGATAAAAGTAGAAGCTACATTGTATATTATGACCCAGTGTGTGTCATTTCCATAGTATCTAATTTGCTAGATCAGGGATGGAACTGGCACTCACCCTCAAGAACATGCAAGTGTCTAACCCTGAGTGTGAATACCTCCTTAAATTTTTTACTCTAGGGGAATTTCTTACTTCACCCTAATCTTGGGTCTGTGTCACACGAACCATCTTTTTTCATTATGAGGGGGACATATAAAGGTGTAAATAGCAGGAGGCAAGAATCGTTGGGGGTCATTTGCAGACTGGTCTCAGAAGACGTAAGCACCTACCCAAGATTCTGATCTGTAGGAAGGGACTTGCACTGGTTCAGCAGTTCCCGACTTTGTCTGAACCATCAATCATCTAACAGTACTGATGTCTGTGCTTCACTATCCAGAGATTCTGCTTTAATTGAACTGGAGTGGGACAGCCACAATCTTTTTAAAAAAGACAAACTCTCCAAGTTATTCTCATGTACAAATGGGGATAGATACACTGCAACTGAACTAAAGGTTGCTTCTGGGAATAAAGTCCACACAGAATTTACCTATCATTACATCTGTCAACAGCATCTGTTCTTTCCTCCTGGGGGAGGTAGAGCAGGAAGGGTTAGGGGGACAAGAGGGATCCAAATTTATGCACTCACAAACTGTTGCTGAATACAGAGCATGTCTGGCTGACTAGGTCTCTTTTTGTCACCTCTACTGTCTGCTTGAGCTGTTATGCAAAGGATTGGTAGGAGCAGGGCTAATTCATCAGTGCTAGTCTGATTGGAGGCTCTTTAGCTGTTTCAGAAGAGATCAAAACAGGCAGATTGGATGAACAGGAAAGTCCCCAGACAAATAAGAAAATAACTGAAATGAAATGGGTTGGATTGGGGTTAGGCTGCCTTTTTTTCTTACATAATAGCTCGGTACCAGTGAGATGCTCATGTGGGCTTGCACACACAGACACTCACATAGACAGGCAAAGCTGAGACTTTTATTTAGCTCATGTAATTTAAAGGTTAGTAAACTACTTGGTTTTGGCTAGTTAACTCTCTGATTTTTCCTCATCTTTGCCCATGTGGCAGGAGCCTGGGCAGATGGGAGGAGGGGTGAAGGGTGCAAATGTAGTTCTTTTTTTTTTTAATCGCCCTCAGTAGAGTGATGTGGTGTCACAGATCACACCAACCTCCAACTCCTGGGCTTAGGCAATTCTCTTGCCTCAGCCTCCCAAGTAGCTGGGACTACAGGCACCCACCATAACACCAGGCTGTTTCTTGTTGCAGTTTGGGGCCTGGTTCAAACCCACCACCATATGGGGCCAGCACCCTACCCACTGAGCCACAGGTGCTGCCTGCGAATGTAGTTCTTGTGAAAGATATTCTATTCTCCTTCAGTGAAAATAAACAATAGAATTTCAGTATGAAGACTAGCCACACTTCTGTATTACTTGGAACTCATGGTAGAACTTTCACAGTTTCTACTTACAGTTTTCTTAGGGAAGGCAACCATGCTCTAGGATTATGATAATTTTGGCAAATAGTTTAAAATGTTGGCACATGACCAAAAGAAGAGGCTCTAGTATAGCCATATGCTGGCAACCATAGTTGTCTCATCAATCAGAGAATTAAAGTGAACAATGAAAGAAGTCTTTATTTTTTTAATGACCACAGCTTAATGGGCACCACTTACATAAGCAAGAAACCCCCTGCAGATGGCCTTGGGTAGGAGCATAACATATTCTTTTACTCTTGTTTAAATTTCAGGCATATGCAGATGAAAGAGGGCAAGTTGCTGAGAAGACAATTCATTCACTTGTCACGTCCATGTCAGCTGCAGCAGAGGCTTGGCTGAAGGCAAATTATATGAATAAGGCACAATATCTACTTTCTCAATAGAATTCCAACCGAGTTCTGCTGGGTGGTAACGTCTGACAGGACTAGAGCGTCTCCATCTCATGACAAGGCAGATCACTTCCCATGGGCTCTTGAATGCAAGTGTACTTGATGGGAGGTGGCGGTGGCTTGAAAGGTGGGGGTCTTTCCATGCTAGGAATAAAACATTGTTTTGTCAGTGCTAAGAATGTGAGGGAGTCATATTCTTTCCTTCACACTCTTTTTGTTTATTTGTTTGTTTGTTTTACTTACAGGACAGACAGGTGAGAAAGAGACACACCCTCTCGGTTCTTTCAGAATTTTTTGCTGGCTTAACCCTCTGCTTGTTAGTTTTACCAGTCATTTGAGTATCATAATCATATAATTAATGAATATTTTTGTGGTGCTTTATAATTTGCAAAAAACTTTCATCATAACATTGTTTATTTTATATATAGGAATGGAGCATCATTGTCATCATTATACAGCTAAAACTGAGGTTCAGAGGTTTTTAACTTCTTACTTAGGAGAACCAGACCAGACCAGTACTTCAAATCTCTCTTTTTTTTTTTTTTTTTGGTTTTTGAGACACAATCTCATGCTGTGAGTGGCACCACAGCAACCTCAAACTCTTGGGCTCAAGTGATCCTCTTGCCTCAGCCTCCCAAATAGCAGGGACTAAAGGCACCTACCACAGTGCCTGGCTAGTTTTTCTATTTTTAGTAGAGATGGGGGTCTCACTCTTGCTCAGGCTGGTCTCTCTCCAACTCCTGAGGTCAAATGATCCACCCGCCTTGGCCTGTGAGAGTGCTAGGATTATAGGTGTGAGCGACACACCCTGCCATAATTCAAGTCTTTTAACCTTGAAAGACTTGAAAGCCTGGTCTTTTCAATGGCAACTGCCTCCTACTATGTACATGTAGAAGGGATGTTTCTCTTACGTGGATTAAAACATTGCTACCGGGACAAAAATCTTAAAATTCTGGGACTTAAGATTGCATCTTTTCAATAGTTCCTCTGCTAACCCTCTCCCTGGTCTTTACCCACAGGCTTGCTAGGTACCATGGGGATAAGGTAGAGGTGGAAAGTAAAGCTCTTCTCCAGCCTGAGTACTGGCTGCATAAAACTTAAATCCCTTTTTTTTGAATCACTGAACCCTGGTAATGTCATCTCTGAACAAAGCACTATTTTATGTTAGCACAACTAATCTCTTAGTCTGAAATGCACAGAGAAGCCAAGTCAGTGTAGGATTTAGCTGTACAAATACTCCAGATATCTTTATAGTGGGAAACAGAAATAAATCTGTGAGCATCATTTATGTTCGTCACTCAAACACCTCCATGCCCTGGCAGTTCACAGCATCTTCATGTGTATATGTGTGTTGGGGGGTTCTTTTCATCTCTTTATGACTTAGGCATTTGAATACAGAACAATAAAAAAAATCCAGATTTTTAGATACTTGCTAATTTTCATGAAAAGATATTCAATACCTATTACCCAATATTGAAAACTTTCATGAAGACTTGCGTAATTCTAAAAAAATTGCACTTTTGATTTTTAGAAAAGTTATACATTTCTCAAAGTCATGTGGTGGCCAAGACTCAATCCTTGGATTAGATCCCAAGATTTCCAACTATTGGTTTAGTGTTTTATTCACCATGAAGCACTCCAAGCACATGGTTCTAGAGTCTTCAAGGACGCTCTGTGAAGGCTTATATAGTACCACGCTCAATGCTATCTTGGTAGTAAGATATGAGGAAAATGAACTCCTGTGTATGGGGGATCCTCCAATTATGACCTTATCCAGGCTGATTCAAAATATCAAGTCAGAAAAGTGAGGCTTAACCTTAAATGCCATCTCAGACTGTTGGTTGAAGAAGAGTTTTGGAAAACATTTCAGTAAAACAAAGAAACAAAAACAGTAACCCCACAAAATCTTACTTTTCTGCTCAGAGGGGAGAAAGGCAAAGGGCAGTAAAAGCCCACTGTGATAAAAGGCAGCCAGAAATCTCTTAAAATTATCTTTCTCATTCAATTTCACACTTGAGCATCTAGGCCCAGCTGAGCTCAGGTGGTCCAAAGATGCATGGAAATGAGAAAATAATGAAGATTCAAAGAAAAAAAAATCCATTTTAGTCTTGAGTTAAGGCAAAGCTCAGTTTCCATTTCATGCCCATGGACACGCTCCACCCGATGAGTGTTTCAGCTGGACCAGGCCAATGCAGAAAGGATGCAAAGTTAGGAGCTATGCATCTAACCTGGCTGCATGAGGCTGGAAAAGCTATCTAGCCTCTCTGAGCGTCTGTGAGCTTTTATTTTCTCACAGAAATATTATTAGTACAATCATATATTTATCAGTACAGTTACAATAATAATATACTAGGTTGAGTTCCATATACTAATACTATACTGTACTGATAAATATTTTGGAATGAAAACTTCTCAGTTTCTACCAATTTCAGTATCATACTCACATTTCTTTTTGATATTGACACCATTTTCTCACTCCAAGACCAAACAGTACCATGCAGGGAAAGAGTAAAGCTGCCACAATCACTGGCCAGGACATCCCGTCCTTGGGCTTTTTCACAACCCCTGAAAAAGGCATAAAGAGAGATGAACTTTAATGCCAAACTTTGGCATCTGGAAAACAGGATTAGTTGAACCATTTCTCCTACCTGTGAAACACAATTTCTTCAAGGGCCAGAGGCATGCTCATTGGCTATAATCACACTCTGGGGTGGTGTCTCTGCCTTCTCACCCACACAAAAGGCAGTAACTTTTAACAAATCAATTATGTATCCTACTAGAAATTTTGTATGACTGTATAGGCGCACGTGTATATCATGACTATAGATCTCTTTTATTACAAATGGGGGCGTGCTGTACCTGCTATTCTGTCTCTTACTTCTCTTTCTTAAAACAAACAAACAAAATTCTTGGTATACTTTCCATAGCATGTAGAGAGATTTACCTTATTTCATTAAATGACTGCATAGTTCAATGGACCTACCACAGTTTATTGAATTGTTCCATAATGTTAGATGGTTAAGTCTCTCAAGCTTTTATTATTTCTAACAACATTCCAGTCAAATTCCTTATAGATTATAAACAGGTCTTTAGATTATTTAGATCATTTAGGCAAAAAGATTGGTTTTCTTTCATTCTTTCAACTAGATAATAAACTGCTTATGGGTAGATACAGGCTTTTAATTTCTTCTATTGCCCACTTTTTATTACACTGTTTTTGAGAAAAAGCAAAATCTCAAAACATGAATTCTTTTTTCTTTCTTTTTTTTGAGACAGAATCTCACTATGTGGCCTTTGGTAGAGTGTCGTGGCGTCACAGCTCTCAGCAACCTCCAACTCTTGGGCTTAAGTGATTCTCTTGCCTCAGCCTCCCAAGTAACTGGGACTATAGGCAGCGGACACAACGCCGGGTTATTTTTTTGTTGCGGTGGTTTAGCTGGCTAGGGCAGGTTTCAAACTTGCCACCCTCAGTGTATGTGGCTGGCGCCGCAACCTCTGTGCTATAGGCACTAAGCCTCAAAACATGAATTCTAAAGGACTAGATTTAAAATATTAGTTACCAAAACTTTTTTTAATAACTCCAAATAAATGGCCTAAGATTAGCTACAAAATATTTTCTGTCTTTTAGGTTGCTTGAACTATATCTGTGAGTCATTGTAGCTGGGCCCCTTGAGATTTATTACCCCAGCATTTTTAATGACTGAAATAATACAGTATTGGACTAGTGCCTTGGTTATTGGCACATGTTATTCGCTTGCTTCCTGCCCAATATCCCTTGTTCTCACAGCAGTTATTAACAGCTGATGCACTGTTTCTTTGTCAATCAGGAGGAGATCAGTAACTCCAGAATTAAGAGAACAATCTCCTGAGTTTGTTTTGCAGAAAGAATGAAGACTCCTGAAAAAATTGCAGCTAGCTGCTGAGGCCCAGAAGTCTGGTTACTCAAGGTGTTATCTGAGACACAGACTTCCCCCTACCTGTCTTCCACCCTGCTCACTACTTCACCACTGTGACAAGGCAGATCTGAGGGATTTCCTCTCCTATCTTTTTACTTTGGCCAAATTGAAGAAAACTTTAACTCCAAGCATCGGTGTCACAGTTTGGCTTTAGCTGTGCATCGGGCACATGAACTTGAATTTGGGATTCTACAACAATGTTATCAGCTAGCACTGGTTAACAGAGCTGAAGATTTTTCCTTTTTATAGAACGCACAGCCAAGGCTTCAAGGTCACCTTAACCTCAACCTTGTCAAAGTTGACACTCAGGTTTCCTGGCAAGGGCATGTCCTCCTACAATACATGACTAAGTGATATATTGTATATACTGATGGCTGGAGAGTTCACAGTAGTTTAAACCTCTGGAGTAGCATGATTTCAAAAGAAACAATTACACAGATGGTCCACTCAGGACTGGACAAAGTACTATTTTAGTCAAGTCAGAATTCACCAGGCTCTACACTGGTAATATAGTGGAATGTAACATTTCACCTCTAAAGCTTTAGAGAAATAAAAGAACAAAAGGTTTTAATTAGGTCTTACATCAATGCCTACAAATTACCTTCCAATCAAATACAGAAAATGAAACCATAGCCTTCATTGCTTTTCAGTGGAAAAGCAAAGCTCAAATCTTGATTCATCTCTAAATTACAGAGTTGTTTAAGTGGCTGATATCTTAAAATATTGGTAGTGCCTCAATTTGTAGCTCTTGTTGCCATGATATGTTCAGAATGATGCTCCAGTGATCTGAGGTCTGTACAACTTTGATATGAAAAAGCAAGTACCCAGGTGGAGAGTTCACTAGCCAAGTAAACACTCCTGGAGTTGATTATTGGCACATGTTAATTGATTGCTTCCTGCCCAATATCCTGCACTTCTGCCTCTGAACTTACAATCACGATCTGCCTTGGGAGAATGCTAACTTCATTGAATCTCTTGTTTTCTTTTATAATATAAAATAAGGGGCTAAATTTTTCACTGACAAAATTTTATTCTTTGAATTACACATGTACCCTTTGTTCCAATGATCTATTTCTCAGACTATATTTTCACAGGCCTGAAATGTTCCTTGCTTTTTTTTAAACCTGGCTAATTCTTATTCAGTTTTTATATTTTAATTTAAATATCAGATCCTCAGAGAGTCCTTTTCTGATTTCCACTTAAAATCAGGTCTTTCTTTTAGATCCTATAAATATCTTATAGTACTTGTCACAAATAAATTTAATTGTATGATTACTGTTTATTATATATACTATCTGATAGATTGTAATTTTCAGGAAGCCAGTGTTTTCACTATATATCTACCATGCTTAGTAAGTAGTAGGTACTCCATGAATATTTGTTGACTGAACAAAATATAAAATAAAAAAAAAGGCAAATGACTTACCAGTGACATAGATGTGAATTTTTTTAGTAGATCCATTGGTAGTAGTGAGGACTTCTGAAAATGCTGCCCTTGTGCTGGTAAAGACATCATCTAAGGATGCAAAGGGGATATATGAACTGATTCTAATAGTCATGGCAGATTTCATGTGCTATTAGAAGGAGCTCAAATTAGCTGGTCTGAATATCCCTTGAATATAGTGTGCATAGTTTACTATGCACCAATTTATAGCAAGGCTGGGATCCTGGGATCTGTCTAATAACTACCAAGGAAGTGAAATTTCCTATTGGAAATTCCTATTGCATGAAAGAAAAAGAGAAGCTGCACGTTTCAAACAACAAAACCATATCAGCTAAAGAATCCTCAAAAGAAGGCTGGGCACAGTAATCAGGCTCACACCTGTAATCCTAGCACTTTGGGAGATTGAGGTAGGTGGATTGCCTGAGCTCAGGAGTTAAAGACCAGTTTCAGCAAAAGAGAGACTCCCTCTCTAAACATAGCTGGGAGTTACGGCAGACACCTATAGTCCCAGCTACCGTGTTTCCCCAAACATAAGACACTGTCTTATATTTATTTTTTCTCAAGAAGACACACTAGGGCTTATTTTCAGGGGATGTCTTATTAAGTATAATACAACAATCTACATTTATTCAAATACAGTTAAGTCATCTTCTTCTGGAACCTGACAGGGGGAGCCAACCTTGTTGGTGGGGCTGGCGCTAGTGATGCGTGAACTCCTTTCCCCTAGCCATTCGCAGGTGCGCAATAGAATGCCTGCAACCACGGTTACCACACGCGCACTGTGCAAGTGCAAATGGCTCAGAGAAAGGAGCTGTGGCAGATAAAAGGTATTCCAGTCTTCCTTGCCACTCTGCGCTGAAATGCATGGCGTGGCTATGCAGATATGCTGCATAGCCACGCTCATCACTAGGTCTGATTATCAGGGTAGGGCTTATATTTAACAAATGCATAGAAATCCTGCTAGGGCTTATTTTTTGGGGTAGGTCTTATTTTTAGGGATCATGGTACTTGAGAGGCTCAGGCAAGAGAATTGCTTGAGCCCAAGAGTTTGAGGTTGCTATGAGCTATGATGCCATGCACTTTACTAAAGGTGGAAAAAGAGATTCTGTCTCAAAAAAAAAACAAAACCAAAAAAACAACACATCCTCCTAAGACATTTACACGGTATGAGAAAATGCCATAAGTTGGTGTCATGGAAATATGAGGCCCTACTCATATTCTTTTAGGCTATCAGAGGTTCAGATGATCAATATTGGGGTTCTTCTTACCCCAATATTTTGATAAGTTTTATAAAAATTTCTTTTTAGGCTCCGTGCCCATAGCACAGGGATTATGGTGCCAGCCACATACACTGAGGGTGACAGTTTCGAACCCAGCCCAGGCCAGCTAAACAACAATGACAACTGCAACAATAAATAGCCGGGCATTGTGGCAGGCACCTGTAGTCCCAGCTACTTGAGAGGCTGAGGCAAGAGAAACTCTTAAGCCCAAGAATTGGAAGTTGCTGTGAGCTGTGATGCCATTGCACTCTATCAAGGGCAACATAGTGAGACTCTGTCTCAAAAAAAAAAATTAATTCCTTTGTAGCATTAGACTAGGAAAATCCATGTTGACTAATGATAACAATTTTCTGATGGAAAATTGACAGATGAAAAGTATTTTTCGTAATGTTGACAGGCGAAATATGCTGTTGTATAGAATCCCTTTTGAAGTGAAATAGAAAAAATATCTAAGACTTGGTCTCTGACTATCTTCTTTAAATGGCTCAGAAGAATTTTGTTTCCATTCATTACTTTTATCATCAAGGTGCATTTTTGAATATCTATCTGTGATTGGCTTCTTATCAGGTCCTATTTTTCCTCCTCTTCCCAATAAAGCAAACTTCTACTTTCTACGTCTGTAAAGTTTCTCAACTACTCACCATAAAGCGTTGAGCCTGTGCCTGAGGGAGATGCGCTGTATGCTACAGTGGGTATCCATGAAGCTGCTGAGGGAAGATGTCAAAAGAATCAGTCTATTTAAGACTATTCCATAATCTCTTCTTGACTGTTCATGTATTGATTAGGTGAAAGGATATTTGTAAATACTTAATGTAAGGTCATTGAAAAATTCTGCAGTACACACTAGACTGTACCCAACATGGTGAGAGTTGAAGGGATGCTTGTGGCCTAAATGTTTCTAGTAGAGATGTTCAATTATAGCTGCCTAGAAGCAGGAAAAGAAATGGCAGAAAAACACCAGGAGAGGTTCCTCCAGACACAGAGAGTATCCTCTAGATGAGCCAAAAGAATGGGAGAGAAATGAAAGCCCAAATGTGCTATGGTGAAAACCTCTAGTCAAGGAAAAGTGCCAAGAAGATTTGAAGACCCAGTAGAAAATGCATGACAGAAGAAAATAATTTGTACTTTTGGGACAGCTGATATTCTTGCTCAACTGGGAAATGGAACCATGCATTTGATAAAAGGCCTATCACATACTGTAATGTGAAATAACTACAGTAGTACATGGTTGCGATCATTACAAAGATATGTATACTAAGCCCATTTATTTAAAGTATTAGCATACATGATTTTCCCAGTTAGATGCTTTCTTGTGTGTCAAGACAAAAACAAATAAACAAAACTGAAATAAAATAAACACTGTGTGTGTGTGTGTATATATATATATATATATATGAGGTCAGAAAATTAAGTTCATGAACTCGTCCCAGAAAAAGTGCGTACCATCACCTTTGAAGTGCTCCCCCTGGGAAGCTATGCACTGAAGCCAGTGCCTAGTCTACCCTTCAAATCATTTTATCTGGGATGAGTTCATGAACTTAATTGTCAGATCCCAACCTATATATCCTTTAGCTGCTCTGCTCCCTTATTTGTTTTTCCCTGGACGTTAGCTGTTGTTGACAGAGATATGTGATCCAGACCTTCAGAAGAGGGGCAAATCAGTTTTTTCTAGGGCTCACTCATGGGACAATTTGTCATAGCTACTTCAATTGGGGATCACTTTAGAGGTAAGAGTAGTTTTGTACATAGCCATTTTGAGTCTGACTAGGTTAGGGAGATGTTCTTACTTTCAATACAATTCTTTGATCCTGCACATATGATCTTGGGTAATTTTTTGTTCTAGATGGAATACCAAGGCTTATAGACCATGATAGACTAAATATTTTTAGTGCCCATTTTTAATAGTTAAACCTTTAGCCAAAAATTTGATTTACAAATTGCTACTGGGACCAAGCCTGGATTTAGGTAAAATTAGAAAGAAGGTAGCTTGGGCGGGGAGGGGGGTGGGCAGGTGGAGGGAGGGTGATTGGTGGGATCACCTCTATGGTCTATCTTACAAGGGTACAAGTGAATCTTTCTAAAAGTAGAATATAAACGTCTTAACACAATATCTAAGAAAATGACATAATGGCTATGTTAACCAATTTTATGAAAATATTTCAAATTGTATATGAAAACACCACACTGTACCCCATGATTGCATCAATGTACACAACTATCATTTAGTAAAAAAAAAAAAAAAAAAAAGAAAGAAAGAAAAGAAAGAAGGCAGCTTGTTCTGGATAGTGTTTTGGACTTTTTCTTGTCCAATGTAGTCTCTTTTAACTTCTTAACTTTGTAATGATTTGTGACATGTGGACACCAATAATTTTTTCACTAAATGTAAAGTCCTAGGCTTTGCTGGTCAGTATTGATTTTCTCCAAACAAAATAAACAAATGTAAAGCAGTTTCAGGAAATGATAATACCATCAACAAAATTATAAACATGACAATACTTAAAATTATTCAAATTATACATTTTCGTAAAACTTCTTCTTGGGCTTCTACAAACTTTCCTAATAGAAAAAGACTCCTCAAAATAGTGTCTGATAAAATAAACTACAAAGACAACTTTGGAAAAGTAGGGAGTTGGCAAACTTTCTAATTTTGACTTTATGAGTTTAAAAATGTTTTTTTAATCTGTTAAAAAATGTAGTGGAGAGTGGAGTGAGAAAGGTCATGAAAATGGCGCTTCCATAGAATTTCGCATGTCTGAAAATACTTAAATATGTAAAGGAAAACCTTCAAGACCAACAATGTATTATAAATTAGAGTCAACAAGGCAAAGAGATGAAGAGTTTCTGGTATGAATTGCTCCCACAGGAAAGAACATCCTGAAGAATGTTTATAGAATCCTCTGTAAGACAGAATTGGCTACTTCTAATAATTCATCTTTTGATAAAATAGTACTTTTCCAAAAGCTTATCCACTCCATAATTTAGATATCTAATTGTCAGAATGTGAAGGTTTGCCCACTCCATCTGCCCTTTTGAAATTTCCTTGGTAATCTCTCAGCAGAATTACATTGCTATTGTCACTCAATTGATCGAAATATTCTGTGAACTTCAAAGTAATATCATGTTTGTTAAGTACATGAGTTAATTCTCCTTTAAATCCTTTGAGCACCCATTTTCATAAAAAATCCATGAATGAACGCTATTTTGACATCTGGCTGATAAACACCAGTTTGATGGACGACTTCCTCTAGTACAAAACTGATATGGGCTGCAAGTATGAACACTGGGATACTGTTATTGGAACTTCTCAAATAAGTTCTTATATCTTTCTTTGAGCATTATGTGAGATTCCTCCACAGTTTTCTTAACTTTAGCTTTGGATAAACTTGTTCATCAAAGAAACTACGTAAGTTAATATACTACTCCACCATAAAAAGAGTCTTCTTTTCCATGGTAAGAAGGGCATCAACTTCAATAGCATAGTATTTTTTCTTTAATTGAAATAATTTTTTTAATATTATCTTGTGACTGGTTTCTAATTGTCCTTGATATTATGACACATTAGACATCTATTTAATCTCACACCAAAGTCCATTATTATCTAAAGTTTGGGAGCTCTTCCTTTGATAAAACCATATTTCTTTGTGCAAACTGATCTTTTCTGAAATTCTGGTATCATTTTTACACACACAGAAGATTGTGATGAGCCATTTATTGGTTATCCAATTTTCTTTAAGGCATTCTGCATTCTTTTCTTTGATTTTTGTGTTAGAACAATGGTAGAGGTGGCAAATGATATCCAGAGACACAAGACCTGGCTACAGAAATCTTAATGATCTTATTTTCTCATTCTATCTTCATCTTCAAGGTGAATATGTACTGAGCCAGCACAACCTGTGGCATAAAGATACACATGCTGTATCTTTGGAAAAGTAGGGAGTTGGAAAAGTTTGTGCCAGCCTCTGTGCACACTCTTGCCGTGATCACCTGGTCCACAGATGAAAAATCCTTATTCTCTTCCCAAATGAGAAAAGAAAATGACATTCGCAAGCTTTGGAACTACGGAGGTTGTGCCCCAGCTGTGGAGATACCGGTGAAGCTCCCAGAAATTGGTACACACATCATGTGTTTTACTGTGCTCCACAGTTATTACATTTTTTACAAATTGAATGTTTGTAGCAAGCCTGTGTTAAACAAGTCTGTTGGCTCCATTTTTCCAAGAGCATGTGCTCACTTCATGTCTTTGTGTCACATTTTGGGAATTCTTGAATATTTTAAATGTTTTGATCATTATGACACTATTATGGTGATCTGGCAATCAATGATCTTTGTTGTTACTATTGTAATTGTGTTGGATCTCTATAACCTGTGTCCGTATAAGACTGAAGTTTATAAATAGTTGTGAGTGTTCTGACTGCTCCACTCACTGGCCTTTCCTCATATTTCTTCTCTCCTTGGGCCTCCCTATTCCCCGAGACATAGAAATAATGAAGTTAAGCCAATTAATAGCACCTTTCAGTGTTTCAAGGGAAAGGAAGTCAGATAGCTTCCATTTAAAATCAAAAGCTAGAAATGAGTAAATTTAGTGAAGAAGACATGTCAAAAGCTGTGACAGGACAAAAACTAGGGCTCTTGTGACAAATAGCCATGTGAAGGCAAAGGAAATGTTCTTGAAGGAGATTAAAAGTGCCACTCCAGTGAACATACACAAATGATAAGATAGTGAAACGGCCTTATTGCTGATGTGGAGAAAATTTTAGTCATCTGGATAAACCAGACCAGCCAGAACATGCCCTTAAGCAAAAGCCTAATCCAGAGCAAAGGTCTAACTCTCTTCAATTCTTTGAAGGCCGAGAGAGGAAAGGAAAGTACAGAAGTAAAATCTGAAGCTAGTAGAGGTTAGTTCATGAGGTGTAAGGCCAAAAGTCATCTCCATGACATAAAAGTGCAAGTTGAAGCAGCAAGTAGAGATGGAGAAGCTGTAGCAAGTCATCCAGAAAATCTAGCTGAAGGTGATTATGACAAACAACAGATTTTTAATGTAGACAAAACAGTCCCCACTGGAAAAAGGTGCCACCTAGGACTTTCACAGATAGTGAGAAGTCAATGCCTGGCTTCAAAGTTTTGAAGGCTGGGCTGAATCTCTTGTTAGAGGTTAATGTAGCTGGTTACTTTAAGTTGAAACCGATGACCATTTACTATTCCAAAGCTCCTAGGGCTCTTAAGACTATGCTATATCTATTCAGCCTGTGCTCTGTATATGGAACAACAAAGTCTGAATGATAGCACATCTATTTGTAGCATGACTACTAAAGATTCTAAGCCCACTGTTGAGAGCCATAGAAAAAAAAGCTTTCTTCAAAATATTGCTGCCCATTGGCACTGCACCTGGTTACCCACAAACTTTGATGCAGATGTTCAAGGAGATTAATATTGTTTTCATGCCTGCTAGCAAAAAATCCATTCCACAGCCCACAGATGAAGGAGTAATTTTGACTTTTAAGTCTTATCATTTAAGAAATGCATTTTATAAAGCTATAAAGCTGCCATATATAGTGATTCCTCTGATGGATCTAGGCAAAGTAAATTGAAAATATTTTGGAGAGAATTCACTATTCTAGATGCCATTAGGAACATTTGTGATTCATGAGAGGAGGTCAACATATCAACATTAACACTCATTTGAAGATGTTGATTCTAACTCTCATGA